CTATCAGCCCTCTGCTTCTCTGTACAATGTTGATCATTTTGATGGAGCATTTGTTTTAATTTCCCAAATGAGGAAGCAATCTTGTAAATATTGTGCGGTAATTAAAATGGCTATTTATTGTGCAGCATTCTGCCTGCTGCCAGCACACACTCTGATTAGCATTCCCCTTCAACCAAGCCTCTGCTCCTACCCGTCCTCAGCTTCAGGGAACCCTGCACACAGAGACCTGCAGGCAAGCACCACCGTGTCCATCCATCTGTCCATCCATCCATCCGCCTGTCCATCTGGCTGCTTGCTGCTGAGACACAGCCAGAAGTTTCATGGCCTCCTAAATCTAACCCAGCAGCAGCAAACAGCAACCCTTGTTTCTGCAAACCCATTCCTCAGGTTGAAGGTTGACAGTGGGATTGTCCACTATAGGGACAAATTAGGAATGCAGTTTGGAAGAGAGGGATGCAGTGATTTCTATCATCCCATGCCACCTGTCCTATGGCCACCACTGCCATGGCCTGGGATGGGGTGCATGGTCACACAGACAGCTCTGCAGCCCAAACCTATGGCTATACAAAGCCTAGGGAATTGCCAAATTTTCTCTGAGATGGTTCAAAATCCTCCTCCTGGGTCTCCATGGTGACAGAAGCAAGGGCTGGATCTGTGTGCCGGGGGACAGCAGCTGTGCCCCAGGGAGCTCTGAGGACCAGAGATGGGTTGGGGGTAACGGGGCATTGAGACTCACAGTACTGGTCATGCATGTGCAGGCTGAGGAGTTACATGCCTGAACCTCATCACATCTGCATGAGTGCAAATTAGTAGCTAAGGCTTTGCCTGGTGTGGTTTCTGTTTATTATTTCCTCTCTGCAAACAATCACAATGACAAAAGCTGAAAGAAAAAAAAAATGTACTACTTGAAAATAAAACTCTCTCTGAACCCTTTTTAAAAACCCTGCAAAATGAAAATCCTCCTGACTCAAGCAATGCTGGGTAGAGAAACACCCCGGGGCCAGGGAGTGCGGCTGGAGGCACCACGCAGGCAGGAAGAGGGGCTCGGGGTTGGGGGGGGGGGGGGGGAGTCGGTCCCACAGTGCTGCATTCCTATGCGGAGGAGACCCCAGCCCCCGTTCCCCCCAGGAGGCTGCTACCAGCTGCTCCCCAGGGAGCCCGAGTGGGCTGCAATGACAGAAAGTGAAAAGAAATTGAAGATCAATAGAATGAGAAGAAAAAGCAGAAGTGGGGGTGGGAAGCAGAGTGGTAGCCACCCCCCAGCCCCGCTTTCTTCCATCTAGGACCTCTCATGCCCTCACACGGGGTCCCAGGGCAGAGATCCCAGAGCTCAGCTGGAGATGCCACTGCTGCTCCAAGCAGATATCCCCTCAGCCTTTTCCCAGCACCCCACACCCAGCTGTGGGCCCCCGCAGAGCTCTGTGCACAATGCTGAAGCTCGTTAGGGTTCTTTGCATATACGCTAATCAGTGGGGAGCCTGCTCTGGCATTTGTGCCCTGGTCCCCAGCTGCAGACCAAATAGAACAGCACAGCAGCACATTCCCCAGCCTCAGGCACCAAATGGGTACAGAAGCAAAGGGCACCAGCCCACCCCTGCCCCGCACAGACCCACGGTGACAGCTCTCCCAGTGCACACTGCAGACTCCCACTCCCTTTCCCATTGCCTCTCTCCCCATCTCCTACATACAGATGCCAGCTCATGTACGGTGCCAGCCCCACACATCATCACCCACCTCCGTCGTCCCCTGTGTCCCCATGCTGGTGCCCACGCAGCCACCACCATCCTCACCCCCAGCATGGCCTGGCCTGACATCCAGCATCCAAGGGTGCTCCCCAGCTCCCAGGAGCTGAGTGCCAGCAGCCACAGCTCCTGGCAGCACTCTACCTACTGCAGCAGTGCAGGACACAAAGGTGAGCACAGTCCTGCTGCTCCTGCAGCCTCATTCAGCAGCACAGGACATTCTTCTGCAGAAATCTGCACATCCTGGAGCAGGAGGGTACATGCTCCTGTGCCATAGCACTCAGTCCCAGGCAAAAGGTAAGCACAGCACCTCCCTGCTGTGGGGCTCTTATTAAAGCCCTCCTCCCTCAGCAGATGCAGCTGTGTTGGCTGCAAGGAGGGAGGCCCTGTCCCAGGTGGACATAACAACCAAACCAACCTGGCTGGTCCTGACTCAAGGACAAAGGACAGCTGCCCCGACCCTGCTGCCAGCCTCCATCCTGCTGCACAGCCTCGCTGCCATGTGTTGCTTTGCAGCACGGGCATTAATACTGGGGTCCCCTGCTCTGCTGCCCAGCTCCCCCAGTTCACCATCCCCATCCCTGCAGCTGCGGTGGTGCTGAGAGGTCTGAGAGGCAAGGAGGAACTGAGCCACATTAGCTGGCTCGTTAATTCGCAGATGTGCATGGAGCAACTCAGCCCTGCAGTGAGGTGCCAAATCCCAGCAGCCATGCCCTGTGCAGCCACCAGCTACCAAAAAAGTGTCATCAGCACAGGCAGAAAGCATGGCTGCCAGCAGCTCCACACCGCCACTGGGAAACTATTTGGTCCGAAAATGCAGAATGCTTACACCTGCCCCAGGACAGAGCAGCTCCTAGTGCTAGGATTTCAGAGAGGAAAAGGCCAATGCAAAAAATGAAAAGTTGCTCTTTAACAGGAGAGCTGCAGTGCTGGGGAGCAGCGTGGGGACAGCCTGGGGACACCCTCCCGATGGGCACCAGGAGCTTCGCAGCCAGCATGCAGGGTTCTGGCTGTGCTGCAGATCCACGCACCATTAAACGCAGTGCAGACCCATGGCCAGGCCTGATGTGGAATTAATTGAATGGGAATGAGATGTATTTTATGTCCTTAAAGCACATTAAGTGCTTGGAAGTTAATTGGTATTTAATTAGCATAAATTAAGCTCTTTAATAATACTCGGAGAAAAACAACATGTATTACAGATGCTTTATTAAAAGTCACCCTGACAAATCAAAAATGAGTGCGCCGAACGCATCAACAGCAAAAAGGGGAAGGACGCGAGGATGTGCACAGGTGCACTATGGAGCAGGGGTGCAGCACGGAGCAGGGGTGCAGCACAGCTCCCGCGCAGCAGCAGCTGCAGCTATAACTGTGCTTCCTGCGGATGCCGCGGGCCGTGTTTCCTCCCGAAAGAGGAAGGTGATCTCCCGCTCCACCCCCCGGCGGCCGCAGCCGCGCTCCGGCTGAGCTCTGCCCCGAGCAGCGCACGTGGCTCCCGGTGCCCGCGGTGCCCCCCAGCCGCAGCCCCGCAGCCCGGGGAGTCCTCCGGGTTGGAAGCAGCGCCTTCGCTCCCTGTTTGCTCCGGCATTTTTTGCAGCGTTGCCATGACGACCGTCCCGGTGACATCTCCGCGCTGTTTGTCTCGTAGCGGTTTGCGCCGCTTTCCTTCCCGAGCGAGCGGCCGCCTCGCCCCGTTCACCCGGGCCGGGGCCGTTCCGGTGGGGTCTTTCCTCCCTCCAGCCTCACTCTTCTCGCAATAAAAAGCACGGCTTTGTGTACAAGCGTTTGCGTATGTGTGTGTCATTTCCTGGGCTGAAAATAGCGAGTGAGCTGAAAATAGTGAGATGCACTGGAAAGGGCTCTGCCAGACCCACGGGGATGGCCAGGAGCTGGAAAGGGCTCCTTCCCTGTGCCAGGTGCTGCGGGGCCATTTCTGCCCAACCCCATTGTTTTCCTCCTCTGGTGCTGTGTTCCAGCCCACCCCATGGGGTTTGCCCCACGATCCCCGTAGAAATGCTCCTGTCTGTCCCCATTCCAAGTGTGGCACTGCATTCCCCAGGACAACCCCTTTCCCTGGGCACCTCATTGCAGGGCTTGTAGGGGCTGGAATAGCAACAGACATTGACTGGAACCTCAGCCACTTCTGCTAACCCCCCCCCCCCAGACAATGCTGCCTTCCTCAGATGTGCTCGGAGACCTCCAGCCGTGTTCCAAAGTTTGCAAAATTCAGTACAACCAAAAGATCTCTTGGGAGGGACTGCAGAATGGCCGTGTGCTGGGGTCATTGCTGTGCAGAGCCTGCCAAGATGCGGAAGGGGTCACTGCCAGCACCCCCACCCTGAGGGGCCAGGGTTATTTAGGGCTGGGGATAGATCCCCAATGTGCAGATGTTGGCACTGGTTGCTCTCCCTGTGCCAGATGCTATCTCAGAAATCATGTCTTTCTGCCAGCAGCCAGTGTGAGCTTCCATCCCATTCCCATTTCCCTTTTTGTTCAGCATGCCGAGAAGCGTCTAAATACTGCATCCGGGCTCCTAGCATGCAGCTGCAGGGGCAGTTCTGTTGGCACCGACTGCAAAATAATGCGGACACTGCAGAACCTGCAGCCATGTGCACCATAGCCACACACAGCACAGCTACGCACAGCACAGCCACACGCAGTGCAGCACAGCCAGACACAATACAGCCACACACAGTACAGCCACATGCAGTGCAGTCAGGTTCCCTGCACAGCAAAGAGCCCCAGGTGCACGCAAGGGAAAACTGAATGCTGCACAGTCTGTGGGGGGACAGCAGAGACGCAGGAATGAGAACCACATACTGCATGAGTGGGCAGAGAGTGTTGGTGCCCCCAGCGTGTTTGGAGCTGGGAAGCTCCCAGCATGTACACACTCCTTAAATAATAGTCATAAACAATATAGGAATCAATTGGTGCCAGCACCGGGGGGCTATGCCACGTGTTGCTTTACTCAGCTTTGTGCCAATCGTATGGGGGTAACAGCGGCTGCTGTGCTCAGCAACCAGTGGCTCTCACAACCCCCAGGGGAGCAGAGGGGCCCAGGAGCAGCCTAGCAGCAGTGGTACAGAGCTGCCGGCCATAGTCAGATGCTGCACCTGTGGCATGGAGTCGTGCAGTGCCACAAATGCCAGGCACAGCCCTGCAGGACAGACATGGTGCATGGCTGGGTCATGGCAGTGCCATCCCAGAGTGTCTCAGCAGTGTGCTCAGCAGGAGGTGCCAGGGTTGTGTTGTGCAGCCTCACTTCAGGAACAGGCGGATTGCCCGGCCACCGATCACAAACCTTGCAGGAGGGAAAAGAAGATCAGGATCAGCATCTGCACTGTTGCGGTGTGCATAGGGAACACAGAGTGCAGTAGCTCAGCACCAGCCCCAAGGGTAGATCAGATGAAGCCAGCGGACATGCCAGGCTTGGAAGCAGCACGATGCTTTGCTGCCTCCTTCTTAGAGAGAAGAGGAAGAAGCAGGGGGGCTGGGGCTCTGCTGCAGGATGGGACGGGGAGCAGGGAGAGGGCAGCCTCACTGCAGCACCACGTACCTAATCAGTATGCTGGAGATCAGGCAGCCGATCAGAGGCCCGACCCAGTACACCCAGTGGTAGAGCCAGTAGTTGGCTATCACAGCTGGCCCAAAGGCTCGAGCAGGGTTCATGCAGGGTCCGGATATGAAACCTCTGAAAAAGCAACAAGCAACATGAGCTGCTCCTTAGAGTGCGGAGCAGCTCCCATGTCCTGCATCCATTTGCAGGGATGCCCAGCGTGGTGTGAAAGCTTCTGAGCCCATTTTGGGGCTCACCCGTGCCCAGCTTTTAACCAGAGAATGCTCTGCGCTGTGCGCAGGTAGCAGAGCAGTATAGGAGAGACAACAGCATTCACAGCTTAAAAAAACTGCAACAGATAAATATTTGCACATGAGTTTTGAGCAATGTTTAAATAAGAGCTCTGAATCCCGCTAGAGGGGGCACTGCCTTAACCAAACAATCCATTAACATTCAGAATTGTCTGTGCTGGTTATCTGGGTGCAGTGCCATAGGACGCAGGCTGCTCGCCCTCAGAGCCAGCCTCACAGCTGAGCCTGGCAGCGATTCCAGCAGCCATGAGGATACACACTGAGGAGCTGCCCTTGTTTGCTCAGGGCTTCCTACTGTCAATATTGCCGGGGTGGCTGCTCACTTTTATCAGCCCATAGCAGGTAATTGCAGAGGCTGGTGTGGCATGAGGTGTCCATGTGCTGAACTCAAGCCTCCGGCCTCCCTGCCACATTTCTGGGGTCTGCACAGCAATTCCCACCTAGCAGTGCCAGCAGACCAAGCATCTGAACTGCCAGCATCCATAGATATGCTCAGAACCCATCAGTTGCCCTGCCCAGAAGGCTCTGAGTAGGGCTGCAAGGGGGCATATCCCACCCCACCCCACCCCACCCCACCCCACCCCACCCCATCCCATCCCGTCCCGTCCCGTCCCGTCCCGTCCCGTCCCGTCCCATCCCAAAACCTACCAACTCAAACCATCCCAATCCAATCTACCCAAAACTATCCCATCCCATCCCATCCTGTTCCTCTCCCCTCTCTGCTGCAGGATGCAGCAACTCTAGTGCCAGTTGGGGTGGCAGTGGGATGCCCTGGTGCTGGGAGTTGGCAGTCCCAGGCTCTGCCCACCACAAGCTGCAGGGAACTGTGAGTGGGAGTCTCATCCCTGTAGCTGTGGGTCCCATCCTGGCTGCTGCAGGCACTGGAGTGGAACTACTAGGACTGCACCCGCTGCTCAGAGGGAACTTGAGCTCACCCCACCAGGATGTTGATGGCGACTGTCAGGGCGATGCAGATAGGAGCTAGATGGCTCTTGGTTTCCTCATTGACTGCAGTCATGCAGACCACAAGCAACAGGAAGGTGGTCAGGATGATCTCGTTGCCCAGCGCTGGGCCGATCTGCTCATTTGTCTCAATGACGCCAAAGGCCCCTCCGTGCTTGATGTCGAAGCTCCCACTGTTTGCCACGGCCTGGGGGAGACACTCGGTTAGTGCTTCCCCTCTCCATATTGTTGGCATTACAAACATATGTGCTCACTGTTAGGGCAGTGTGGGCGGGTGGACGGCTGGGCTAAAGAGGAGCTAATCTCAGCACTTTCCTCCTGCAAGCCAGCCCTAAGCGCCTGGCAAATATAAACTCATTAGCAAAGGCTCATAATGTCTCCAGAGATAATGAGCTGGCTGTGCTACATCGGACACACACAAAGCACAGGGCTGTGCAGGGCTCGGAGCCCGGGGATGGGCCACACCAAATTCAATTAATGGTGCAGAATAGTGTGGCAGGGAAACGCCGTGCACCTAAGCAGCTGAAGCTGAAGATGTGCTACGCTCTGCCTTGGGCAGCACCCCTACGCCTGCACCCAGCTCAGCTTGGAAGCAGGACTATCAGAGCAGAAAGCACACCCTGTGCTCACAAAGCACACTGTGGTGCAGGATCGTATGAACATCAGAGCTCTTAATTACACTGAGAACTGGTGCCATAGTGCCCCTTGCCCACTGCAACACATACCTGTGGCTGTGCGTCAGCACAGGGCAATGCCAGCTCTGGCAAAGTGGGAGCACAGTCATCAAACCCCAGCGAGCCCCCCTCTGGCATGTGTACCTTTGTCAGGGCAGCCCCTAAGATCCCTCCGCAGAGCTGGGCAATAATGTAAGGGATAAGCATGATGTGTTCCATCCCGCCGATCAGCCATATGCCCAGGGACGCGACTGGGTTGGTATGAGCTCCGCTGTAAAGGAAGAGAAGAGTCAGTGTGGGGCTCATCCCAAATGGGGCTCTGCCTGCTGCCTTGTCCCCGCTGCCCTCCTCAGATCCAGCAGCTCACTATGGGCTGGAGCCATGAAAATGTTTTTAGCACTTATAAGAAAGTGCTGTGCACTGCAGGGGAGCAAAATCCGGCTGTTTCTGTTCTCTGCAGTTGCTATTTGGAGAAGCAGCAATTCCACATGGGATATGCAGACCATTCCAAAGCACATGCAGGGAATCAGATGCCATGGCACAGTTTGAAAGACAGTTTTGGAGCTCAGGAGTCCACCAGGTCCTTCCAGGAGCAGAGAGGGGGAAGTGTGCACAAACCTCTTCTGTGCACAATAGTTTGCAGTGTTACAGGCTGGGAATGAGCCAAGCCCTGGCCTCTGTGCTGCTCCTCTGCTCAGCAGCACAGCATGGCACAGCACAGCACAACATGGCTCAGCACAGCACAGCACAGCATGGCTCAGCACAGCATAGCGCAGCACAGCTCAGCACAGCATGGCACGGCATGGTATGGCTGCAGGTTTCCCTTGCCCTGAAGCTGCCAGGACACTCCACTCCATGCAGGACACATCTCGCAAGAAGGCAGAGGGCAGGACAAAGGCTGTGCCCCATGTAAAGGACATGACACCCCTCTTTCCACAGCCCCCAGCGCAACACTGGGCAGTGCTATGCCCCAACTCCAATGCAGCAGCAGGCACTTGCCTGGCAATGGGACTCAGATTGTTAATCTCAAAGACCACATGCCAGACAAGATCAGATATCTCTTAATTAAGACAGATTATCATGGGACACGCATTAATGAACAAGTTTCATAACCAATCAGCCCTAATAATAATTGCTGGTGAAGCCGTTGAGTCAGAGCGCCTAGGAGCCCACAGTTATGTCTTATTCTTCAGCTTTAATTAAAATCCGAAGTCGGGTTGTCTCAGACAGGCCCAGGCAGGAAGGTGCTGTGAGCCCCTGGGCAGGGGCAGCCCCCGGACCCATCCTGAGCTGCACAGATTCAGAGTAGGGAGATGGATATAGAAGGCAGTGAAGCCCCGTAGGGACCCATTCAGCTTTTCCATCCAGAAAGAAGCTGTGTTTGGGAGTCAAATAGCACCTATTTCAGTGAGCAGCTTTGTCTAAATGTTGCTTTAGAGGAATTGAAACCATTTGTAAATGGAATCCAAGTGTTTCCCAGTGCACAGGGGAATAGAGCACACAGGTCAAAATGTGTCATCCTGACATTGCTTCAGAAGGAAATGCCACAGATTTCCCAAGCGACGCTTTTGCTTCAGCTTTGACCTTTTTTTTTTCTCCTTACGTTAAAAAGAGCTAAAATCAGAATGCTGCAACCAAAGCCAAAGAACCTCCCCCAGACCCAGAGTCTCACTCACAACCATTAACCAAGAGGCACGGTGCACCTGGGGATGCTCCCAGGGAGGTAGGGACCCCAGGGCTGTGTGATAGGAGAACCGTGAGCACATCCTGGGGGTCACCAGCCCCTTACCTGATGTTCCCCAGGCTGACAACGATGGGCACGATGGACAACCCGTGGACCAGTGCTGGCTGCATCAGCCCGGTGCCTTCTGTGTCCTGCACAACTGACATGCAGCCAGCGAAGACGAAGGCCGCACTGCCCAGCAGCTCAGCAAAGCAGGGCAGCACGTAGCGCTCGTACCAGTGCTGCTTGACTGGCGGGTGCTTGGATTCCACTATCTCCATCTCTTCTTTGGTGGAGGGCTGCCCACACTGCACGAGGGGGGCTGGAAGAAAGCAACGTCCTGTTGAACAAGGAGCTGAAAGCCCAAATCCCAGCCCCATGTGCACCGAGCACAGCCTACATCCCAGCAAGCAGCCTGGCAGCCCAGCACAGAGAGGCACTGATGCTGTCCCAGGGACACTCACCCTGTGAGAGCTCGATGGTGGTGCTGCCCGACGCCAGCACGGCCACAGGAGGTAGTGGGTGCTGAGGAGCACCGCACGGTCCCAACTGCTACCAAGCTCCCCCTGCCCTGTATATGGAGAGGCTGTGACTGGGAGGCTCTAGAAGATGGATTGCATTTGCATTGCTAAAAAAAACAACAGAGAAAAAGGGGCAATAAAGAAGATAGGCCAGCCCCCAGGAATATAAAACGTCTTTATCACCGTCATTCCTTGGTTCAAGGTTTTGCTTTTTTTTTTTCCCTTCACCTGGTGGTTTGGTTGGTTTTTTTTTGTTGTTTGTTTTTTTTTTTTTTGGTTATCATTGTTGGTTTAGGTTTTGCTACCACGGCAGAGGACGTGACTCCTCATACAGTGCATGCTGCATGTTTCTGGGATGCCAGCTGCTGCTGCTGGGACGGAACACATGAGGATCCCCTGACACTGCGTGCACTGGGGCATATGCTATTCCAATAGTGCCCTGAGAAATGCAGAGAAGGGCCCCCCTCTGCCCACGGAGAATCCAAATCCTGCACTGCCAGCCATGGCTGAACTCACTTTAAGAAAGGAAAGCCCAAGCCCAGGATTAAGGCAAAGATTTGGGTATCAGTGCTTTGCTGTGCCCTCATGGCGCAGTGCAATTTAGTGCCATGGAATGTGCACGGATGGGGAGTGCTGGGGCTGAAGCACTCAGGGCAGCAGGTGGGTGCACTGGAGAAGGAGTGTTGGGGGCACCTGGGTGGAGGCAAAGTGTCCAAAAAACCTCCCACTGTCATTACCTACATACTCAGTGAACAAATGGCATTTACTTGTTTTTGCTGCATTAACAGAAGTGGGCATTAAGATCTTAAGGAGGACATCAGACAGCATCAGCACAGAGAGACCTCACTGGCAGCAGTGTGCCTGGATCCACCTGCAGCTCTAAGAGCTGATGTTGAGCCAGTGCTCACAAGTGCTCCAAAGCCTACCTACCACACAGGGGATCTCTGGGCACACAGCATAGTGCAAACACAGGAGGGAGTATGAGGATGCCACCAGCTGCAGCCTGGCAGGGAATGCCACTCTGCTGCCATCCACACAGGCAAAGAGACAGCTCTGGTGGCATGAGGCCCCAGGGCTGCACCAAGCACTAAGGATGTGTTTATCATCCCGCTGGGGGTGGGTGCTGAGCCCCCAGGAGATGTGTGCTGGGGGCATTTCAGCTCCTTGAGCAATCGTTTCATGTTTGTGGTGGGTCATTAAGGATTGGGGCTTACAAGTATTTTTTCTCTTGTAAGCAAGTGTAAAGAACGCCAACGATGTTTTATGGTGTTTTCACAAGGCACTGGGGATAGGAAGGAAATTTCCACTGGTCTGTCTCAGAGGGGCTGCTGTGGCCATGCAAACCAGGGCCAGGCAGCAGGTGAATGGAACCCTGCTTCAGGCACCTTCATAAATTCTCTTTTCTTGCTGAGGTTTGGTTCCCTGTAGACAAAACCTCTTAGCCAGAGCTTATAAAAATCACTAGAATAGCAAAAGTGAGCCACGTGGTTGGCAGATCCTTGGGCATCCCTCAGATCCCCCTGCACAGACTCATGGTACAGAACTGATGCTGTGTCCCCAGCCTGCCAAGATCCAGCAGGGTCCCAGCATGGAGCCAACCCCTCTGCATGGCTCAGGGCTTCACTGGAAGCAGTGTAGGTTTGGATAAAAGGAGCAAAGAGGCTTGATTCTTTAGGATACTTATGAGAGGTAACTGCACCACATTCAGATCTCATTTGGTGCTTCTCAAAGTGCTGAATAAAGACAGAGCAATGCAGGACCAGGGGGGATGATGGACACTTCTCAGCCACTGTCTTTGCAGCTCAGGTGGCAGTGCCATGCCATCAGGGCAGAGGGCACAGAGTCTTCTTCAGATTTTTCCCAGCAATGGATTGGGAGCACTAGAAGGTCACAGCTCCAAAGTGAAGATTAACTCAGTGTCCTTGGCTTTTAAACATTTACCATTATTGTTAGGGAGTAGGGATGTTTGGCTGAGCCCGCTGCAGGAAACGCTCCACGCTCAGACAACGCAGCCTGGGTAAGGAGAGCTCCCAGGGAGCAGAGCATCACCCCGCTCTGCCAGGCACTCCTGTGCCATCCACACCTCACTGCAGCGACACAGAGGATCTATATTCATCACCACGAACTGGCCAGGGGTACTGGATTTTCTTTGTTTGCTCTGAACCCTCTCTCCTGGACTTCTAGCTCTTCAGCACAATGTTTCACATAACAGGGAAGGGAAATTCTAAAGGGAAATTCTAAAGGGAATTCCTACAGACAGATTCAGTCCTATTTGAACACTACCCCAGCAGCCACCCTTGTGTGCTCACCTGCCTTTGGTGTGGGATTCCACTGTCACACAAAGACACAGCTCTGCTCCTCACACCCTGCGCTTCTGTGGGTAAGGTTAAATGCTCAGAAAGAAGGGTCTATTTCAGGGAGCTGAAAGCAATCTACACTCATGGGAAAAGGCGTGGGGATAAGAACAGATAAATCTGTTCATATTATCAGACATTTATTTTTGTCCTTGTTTGTGCTTGCACCGATCATGTGGATTTCTTAAATAAGTGACAACAGCAACTGTGTCAATCAGTACAGGAAATGGTAGTACAAAACAAGCAGCACCTCAGAAAACCCCTTTTTAGGAGTTGAACTCTTCTAACATCCATCTATCTATATGCAAAGAGGTCTGAATACCTCTTTTAAGCCTAGAATCACCCCAAAAGCATTTTGCTCTCTTTTCCTTGCTTAATCATGCAGGTCCACAACTTGCTTTTCCATATGAACCACAAAACCAAACTCAACCCACCCAAACACAAAGCAGCACTTTGTGCTAACACTAACCAAGAACATACTGCCATCATCTAGCAGCACCCAAACGCAGCACCAGCTGCAGGCAGAGCCTCTTCATACTGCACTGATATGTTTGATGGGACAGATTTCTGGCTGGATGCCTCTATGAAGTGCAACAAGAGGTGGAGGTGCTGCATGACAGCACTGCTGCAATAAGGCTGAGCACAGTCAGCATCCATATCCAGCTCCTACAAAGCAATAAAGGAACCCATCTGGCACCGCCTTATCTTGACAGTATTTATCTTGGGGACTGATAATCAAATGATTACACAACTGCTATTGAATGAGAACTTGCAGAATTATTTGCAGCTCGTAGCAGTGACACAGGCAGGCTGACCTCTGCCCACGTGCGATCCTGTGGCGTAACAGCAGCACTGGGGATTGCTACAGTAATGCTGGATGGAAATTTCCAAGGGTTCTTACACAGGGGTACCTTGTTCTGTTAGGGACTGACTGGGGTCAGATGTGCAGATGCAGAGCAAGGCTGATTATGGACAGCAGTAAACAGTCATATATGGACCTTAACCTTGATATTTAACATTAAAATTCATCAAACTCTACCAAGGCAGAAGCCAAATCTGTCTGGAAAACCTCCCCATGCTCCTGCCAGAGGTGCTCCTCTCAGTGAACAGCTCTGAGGCGCAGCAGAGCTTGTCTGTGCAGAAACCAGCCAAAGCACCATCAGGAACCCATCCCTGCAAAACACATCCTGCCAGTGTGAGGCCTGTCTGATGGAGCACAGAGCTGCAGTCAGCCACATCACAAGCCCATTTATATCAGAAACACATGGCTTGGTGGGCTGCACCAGGGCCAGGAGATATGCTCTGTGAGAGTGCCTTGCCAAAGTGATGTTTGTTGCATTTGCCCATCTAATTCAGAAGAAGCCACCAGGACTGTCACGTTGGCACCGGCTGTCATCACTGCACAGAACAGCTCCTGCAGTTCAGAAGGCACTCCCAGCTTCTGCTGCGTTGATCTGTGTTTTTAAGTCTCATCTCTCACTGATCACAACACTACCTGTCACATAACCACCAGGCTTAGCTGTGAGCATAGCTGTAGCACTGCACCTTATCTTGTTTCCCACACGTTCAGTTGCCAACACCTTTGACCCAGCTATTTCAGATGCTTTTGGCACATTACTTTGAACTAAGGCTTTTGAGGATGGGCACATCCCTCTGGGTGCTTGCCAGCACCAGACCAAGTAGCACCAATGCCATCAACTGGCCTGGAGCCATGCACAGGAAGAGCAAGGAGGAAAGAGGAGCACTGGAAGTAGGGGGAGTCTGGTCAGAGCTGCAAGTCCAACACCACAGGTTGATCATCCATTAACAAGCTCTTATTCTGTGAACAGCAAGGAAGAAAATAGCATCTGCATGAATACACAAGTAGGATATTAGAAAGTTGGTAGAGATTAGGAGAATTTTGAGAGATGATCAGAGATGGATACTGCTCGAGGTCAGCCAGGTTTACAGCAAGGCTGAGGAGGGGGGATGAGTTCTGGTTCCCAGTGGTTGATCTTTGTCTCACAGGTTCACCTGGCAGTGCCTGTGGTGGGGCAGACCCCACATGACTTCTTCCCAAATGATGGAAAGGCCTTTCCAAGAGTTAATGCACACTGTGAGGGCAGAGCAGCCAGGAAACCTGTCCAGGTGACAGTGATGCTGCTGATTAAAAAAGAGTGAAATTCCATTACCTCCACTCACCTGAAGCAAAATGAATTGGAAACACAGCCCAGCTGGCTGAACAACAGACCCAGCACAGCTACATCCCCAGGTGCTGCAGCCAACTCTGAGCAAGGAAGAGGTGAAACATCTACTGCTGTCTGCTTCAGAAGCACTACACCATTTCTAAGAAATGGAAAGAACCTACATGCTCCCAACCTGTAGGTATGCTTTCATAATGCTGTGTCTTCAATCCAGCAAATGGCTTTGCAAAGCAGTGTGCACACCCCACAGAAGCACAGCCCTCATGAGTCACAGATCTGTAGGTGGAAGGGCCTCGCATGCTATAAGCTCATTAAAAGCAAG